CAATTATAATAGAATAAAATAAGCAAAATGTTGAATGAGCACTAAGCATTTGCTACCAAATTAAAAAAGACTAATTTCTCACAGAAACAATATAAATGGGACTTTAAAAAAAAAAACAATAAAGACAGTTACTAATGAAACTCTATCAGATTGATATAGAAATTTTACAAACTCCTAAAAGGATGGCCTTAATGATTCCATGATAGCTATTGTTCTCATCAGGCCAATAAACTGCAAATAACTGACATGGTTGAGGGTTAAAAATGAAGTGATAGCCCATGTTTAAAACTGAATCTTATTTGCGTTATTGGACATGTATTGTTCAATACATTTTAATATATAATATACCACCATCATCATACAAGAATAAAATCATATCAACAAGATGTACAATGTCTCAGAAATAAGTGTACTAATATGTTTTCATGAATTACAATTCTTTTTGTACTGACTATTCTTAACAGCGTCACACTGTTAAATCATTAATGAGTTGCTTTTCATTCTTCTGTTTGATAGTTTTACGATGATTTAAACATTACAGTATTACAAAAATATACAGATGACTCCGGCTATGGTAACCTCGGATATAGTGAACATCAGTCACTGAACCCGTTTTACTTACATTACAAATTAGCACAAGAAGATTCAGTTATAGTGAACCTTGAACCTTGGCTACAGTCAAGGAAGCAAATGCAACGTTCAGGAAATTAATTGCTTCCTGGAAAAAAATATGTTGCCTCAGCACTACAAATTCCAACACTGGGCTGCTTGGAAATAACGTTGGTCAAAGGTATCACGTGCATAAACAACCAACATTCCTTACAATTAGTGTTAAATGTAACGTGTATTAAATGTTTCCAAATGCGAAACTATTACATTCTCTCATTCCCGATCAGTAGCCTATTTCCAATACACCATAAATGCATTACCTCTCAAGTGTGTGTGATTTGGGATCTGGGTATATACTTTGACTCTAAAATGTCATTTCATAATCATATTGACTACACAACTAATAAAGACAATCAAATTCTTGGTTTCGTCCAAAGAACGTGTGCTGAACTCAAAGCGGTAAACATTTTTGAAATATTATATACAATGCTTATTAAACCTATTTTAATGTTTGCATCTGTGGTCTAGTCTCTGCATTTTCACATTTATACTGCTAAAATTGAATCGGTCTAGCACAAATTCTTCAGAATTGCTGCAATATGTTAAGGCATTCACGATCATTACATTGTCCATGATAATTGTCTCATATCTGCCATCTTAAACATGCCCTCTATTTCGTCTCTTCATAACTTTAATGATACCTTGTTTGTGTTTAAGTTAGTAAATGGCAGAATTGATTGCCTACTGTTACTCAAAAAATTGAATTTTAGAATCTCTGCAATTCGCTCTAGAAATAAATATCCTTTTCCCTTGGTGACCTATACAAATACCTGCACTGCAAATAACACTACCTCTAGAATGACTAGAATAGTAAACGAGTGAGATTACAACATTTCGAGTCCGGCAGAACATTTTTTAACTGAATTGCGTATTTGTATTTTATGTTATGAGAGATTATAATATTTGTATTATTATCGTGATATTCACGAGTCATATTTTTCTAAATTTTATTTCTGTATTTGTATATGGACGAAAGTCCATCAGACTATAAAGAAATAATTTTTTAAAAAAAAGTAATCATTGAAAAAGTTTCCCCTGAGGAGAAGGTATAAAGACGAGAAATGAAGACCTCACTGATGACCTAAGACACTCAATTTCAGTGCAGAAACAAAGGTCATGACCAGCGTGGGCTACAACTGGTGGGGGCGGCACATGGTGCTTGCTTTAGTTTCAAACTTGATGTTACTTGAGATTTCACACGACAAGACAAAGCGCATGATGCTCTAGCCATTGCTCTACTGAAGGGTTCTTGTATGCTGTCGGTGAGTGAAAGGCCTTCCAAAGGACGATGAGTGCACATAAGACATGGATCCTTATAGATAGAGGACAATGTAGAATCAGGTATGGAGAGAGTACAATCTCTGATGTAGGATCTAGAGAAATTAGCAATGGGGAAAGTACACACCAAACAATTGAAAATAATTGATTTTCTTAAGATCAAATTAAGATATTGAAATTTTTAGTTTGTGCTGTTAATGTATTTTGCTTAATTTCTATGTTAATAAAACCAATAATTGTGGAAAAAATCTATTTAATTTTGACATCGGATATAGTGGACCAAAAACGTATGTCCCCAGAAGTTCATTATAACCGGAGTCAACTGTAATTTGGAAAAAGCTGAGCTAATGTTTACCTGGCATACCCAGCTTCATATAAAAATTGAGGTAACTGAGTTGTTTTTCCAGATCCTGTTTCACCTGCTAATACCACAACATCATTTTCGTTAATCGCTTCCATGATGGCCTGTTCCTCTGCTAGAACAGGCAATTTCATTCGAGCTTCTTGTACACCAGGTGGTCTGTTCACTGGCACAAACACAGCTGGTACATTTGGGGCTGTGATTTTTGGTCCTCCTATTGCAACTTGAGGTAGCTGCTCAGAATTTTTGTCAACTGCAATCACTTCCCTTTCAACTGTATGGCTTATTTCACTTTCACAGCCACACTTTTCTTCCAGGGCATTCTCCTTAGATTTTCCGGTACCCTAAAACCAAAGTTTCAAAACACAGATAAATAAGGCAAAATAAAACTCCCGGACAAAATATGAAGAAATATATGACTTTTTTAATTGTAAAAGGAAAGATGTTTACATACCATTTCAGTGTTTCTCATATGATCCTCACAAACCAAATGATTTTCTTCATTACCATCCTTTTCTTCTTCCTCTTCTTCACTAGTTTCATCATCACTGCTGGATGAAGACTAAAATAAAATATTCTGATAAGAAAATTCAAGCAGATGATTCCAACTGTACAAATGTATTGGAACTTTGATATCTGAAACATAACTAACTAGAAATTTGTTTTAAATTTTATTTGTTTCCTTTCTTTTCCCTCTGTGAACAACATTCAGTGCCTAGAGAACCAGCAGTGTATAAGTGACTCTGACAGTTTGATGCGCTATTGCCACATTACTACATTCATGACACCACCTACATGGCAGATAAATTAAATCTCAAAACATTAACACTTACTAACAGGCAATGACACATCTTAGTATTATGATCAACACAACCTTCGCCAAAGCTGAACCTAATCACCTCCATGACTTCATGCGAGTCACCTGGGTGGCAACACAGAATGCTAGCTGTGAGAAACTAAACAAATCCTCGCAAGCTGATTACTTCAGAGCAAGTCACATGACATATCACAGGTCATGGCAAGAGAACTGTTCGAGTTGCCTATACGCTGTCTGTACTGAATATCCTCTCTAATCACAATTCTTGATGGCGGAGAATCTTGTCCTCCACTTTCAAATCCATATTCAGAGGATTTAGTGTACAATCAAATAAAAATAACTACCCGAATTTTCAGGTTTTCATTACCTCAAAACCCACAATATTAGGGTCTTTAGTAGCTTGTTCATTAGTATCCTCATTAAGCAGCATTCTTCGTTTACGGTGTCCAACTAATTTGTTAGTCATGACATTTTCTCCAGAAGTATTTTCTTCAGCAGTGCAAATTTCTTCCTCGTGAATTCGTTTAAGTCCTTTGGTTTGGTACTTGGTTATTGAAACCAACTTCTTCAGAACTTCAGGAGGTGCTTGCACTTCCGCAAGAGCATTAAGCAGAGAAGCTCGCTAAAAATCAAGACTTCCACAATGATATCGATAACAGCTCAAAATATTAATACACCTAACAAACTACACTTTACTTACAGTTTCCTTTTTGTTTTTCCTGTCAACTATTTGTTGTAATCTTTTTCTCTGTTTTTTGGACAATATTTTCTGTGGAACATCATTCTGTACTTTCTTCTTGGTTTTTCGTTTCTCAGATGGAATAACTAATGCATTGCAGTCATCATATGTATCAGATCGTAATCCTTGAATGTCAACAACAAGCTATAAAAAAAAAAAGTCTCTTATGTAAGATTATATGGCATTACACAACACAAGTTCTCTTTAAATAGGTTAATTTAGAGAAATATTTCCTAACAAAAACTGCCTCTAAAGAGATCAGACTCGATAACTTTAGTGGAGTTCAAGGCTGTTTATGATCATGATGTGAACTAATTGTTTAACAATCAGTTTCCAGGATTTATCTTTTATAGGATTTAATATTCACATTTGACTAAATCTTCTTTACTTTCGTAGCAATTTTGTGGTCTGGTCTCATTATTCTCTGGATTAAGATATTAATACAACAGAACACACTTTTCAGAAACAAATATAGTATGAATTGCAAGGAAATTATAATAAATATTCTTTTTCAGATATTGATGTTTACAAAGTTATAAGTAGTTATAGAACTATCAACTCAATATAACATTTTATTTTACCTTTTTTGATTTAGAATCATCTATTGTTGTCTCAACTACCTGCCTTGATTTCCAATTAAACCCTTTCTTATGTTTTCCCATTGTTCATTCGAAAGATTACGTAATGAAATCACTTTAAATCTGTTTTCAAGCAAATGACAACTTAAAAACTAGGCAACAAAAATTGAATTTTCTCTTCCTCTCATTTATGGGCATCCTAGGCAAAACCTGCGTTACTCATAAGCACTTTTCACATAGATAATCCAGAAGTAAACTGCTTCATCTACGCCAAAGACTTCGCACCATGCTCCAACAGCTCGTTATACTATTTCTCCGGCGCCGATTACTCGAGACACCACCAATTTAGACCACTCAATGTAATGTATGTTCACCAACATACACTTAACCTATAGCCAGGGGGCAATGCAAATTCTAATAATTTCAGAAGTTATCCTCTCCGCCTATAACTAATCTACACTATATCAAGGCAAGTTCGTCAACTACGATCCTGATAAGTCCATCCATTGCATTATCCGATATTTTCAGCATCCGCATATACAACATGGCATTATCACAGCAATGTTTTTACCCAGCAGCATGGCACCTGCATGGCACTTCAACCTTCAGTTGTTAATGATTCTAATCAGTGACACCAACATACCAAATTCAAAGTCTCTAAGGTGTACCAACAGTTTGCAGTAATTTGGGGGGGAAATACTATCACGTGACTGCCAGCACTGGCAGAGAACAAAGCTATAAACAAACAAGTGTACGCTCTATGCGAAGAGGACTATAGTCAACGAACTAGAATATACCACGATATCCTGTATATCGTGGCTGAAGCATCGAGGTTATAATATGGAGGTATTACAACCTCCCTGGCACCTCCATCTTTGCAGCAAATTGAAGCCATATTTATTGCAGTCAACCCAGCGCCCTTCGTAGAAATAGTGTGTTCTAGTATTCCATTTGACGCTGGTTACGGCCGGGTGGGCGTGGGCCGCGCGTTATATAAATCTTCTTCCTCTGTGTTTCACGAACAACACATTTGAGAAATATCTGTGACTAAGAACTGGAAGTTCTTTGAACTTTTAGGAAGGAACTCTGACAAAGAACTTTGACGAACGCATTACATTTCGTCCAATATTTTATCTATTTTTGCTACACCGTGATTTTGCTCGCGATTCCAGATGATTGGTGCACAAATAGTTGGGTTTGTGCTACTATATGCGTAATAATAACTAATTTATGTATAATGCTGAAGAAATGAAAGGTAGAGGAAACGTTTGAGAGTGAGGCCATAGAGTAACTCCATGCTATTCATCCAAGGTGAGGCTATGGGTTGCACATTGTGAAGCATTAATTAAAAGAACTTTGAAATGAATTATTTGAGGATGAATGAAACATTCTATTTTCTTTGTCGTCCTTCCTTCTTTCGAAAATGGGTCCTCTTATTTTGAAGTTAAAAAAACCTAATAAAATTAGCATTTTTAAAAAAATTACATTTTCCACTTCTCGGGAAAATTTGTCCTTCGCGCCCATTATTAGTTTAGTTTTATTTTTGGACTGCTGTACTTAATTAATCTATGCTGGAGCTATTATCAAATACCAGAAGAGTGGATAGTGTTTATTGTTAAACCCATTTGTAAAAGAGGTGATATATCAGTCTGTGAAATTATAGAGGAATAAGTTCGCACAAACTGCTGATTATAAAGTATACACTAGAATACTCTCCGAAAGACGAAACCAATAGCTGACACCATCATCAGTGAACAACAAAACGGGTTTAGGAAAGGACAATTTTCTTAAGATAGCGTACTTACGCTCAAAATACTAATAGAAGGAAGAAGAGAATACAATCTTGAAACACACATAGCATTTGTATGAAAGCGTTTGACAAAGACGACCACTGCTATGGGAAATTTTTATAAAGAAGGAGATACCTTACCATCTCATCCAAGTAATTAAAAGCCTGTTTGCTGGAACAAGAATATGTATCGACATTGGTTTCAAAATCGGCAAAACGTTTCTGAATATAAACCTTGGATTTCGACAGGATTGTAGCTTATCGGCAACGCTGTTTAATCTATACGTAGATAAAATGCTAAATGAATGGAACTGTTATGTTTCTCGTGGTATTGAGAATGGAGAAAACTGTTCTATAAATTCAATCTTATACGCAGGCGATCAAGTCCTGATTGCTGAAACAGAAGAACTTCAGCTCAATATCTACTTGCTCAACAAAATAGGTAGATATTATAGCTGTGAAATATCCACTTCTAAAACCCAAATTATGGCGTTTTGTGGAAATGAATCAGTAAGATCTAAGATATTGGTAGAAAACCAGGATCTGTATCAAGTTGACTATCAAGGAAGCTATGTTTCCTACAACTACGACAAAGACCTAGAAAAGAAACATCATAAGAAGAATCCTTGGTAAGAAAATCTGGAAAGAAACACAGTTGAAGTTGTATAAGACGATGACAATACCAACCTTGCTATAAGGTAGCAAATGTTGGTTTTTGAAACTAAGATAAATTAGCAGAATACAGACATCAGAGATGAGGTTTCTGAAAGCAGTAAAAGGTTGTACGAAATCGTATCAGAATCAGTACACTGATCACGAAAGAAATCAAGATATTCGAAAAGAACTGAAAGTTGTACCAGTCCTCTATCAAATCCAAAAGTATAAAAGAAATTGGACCCATCATCTATATAGAATGAAAGAGCAGCGACTTCCTCTAAAGGCATGGAAATATTTGGAAAACGAAATTCCAGGAGACCAATTCCAGTGGATCATCGCTGTTGAACAGAATGGAGCTTATTTTTGGGTCCTACTACAGTACTCATTTGTTTGAACGATGTATTTAGAGAAACAGGCTCCGTCATAATATGTTTACTCTGTGGTAAGCCAGAACATCCTCTAGTATCCTTGTGAAGTGCGTTTCTCGTATCATGTGGGTGAGCTTATCCGGTACGCTTTTTCTGTTCAAGAGGTCACATGTAGTCAATAAAGACTGCGTAGATTTGTCTTTTGGCTGTTTCAGGGCTTCTTTCATTTCGTCTAATAAATTACCGATTGTCTGGAGGGTTATTTCTCTGTTTCCTGAAACCGTATTGTTGTTCCGGAATTAGGTGGTCCGTTTCTTTAACAAGTCTCTCCGTGATTAGTTTTGAGAATATTTCTAAATCATTGTTTTCGAGTGCAATTTCCCGGTAAGAGTTGGAGTCAGTTGCATTTCTTTCTCTTTGTATAATACTATGGTGGATATATATGGTGGATTTTATTCATGCTTCCGGTATTTCCCCGTTTTCCATACATTTATTGAACACCTTTGACCTCGTTTCTATTAACGGCTTTTTCGTAGCTTTGATATGTTCATTGTATATTCCATTTGGTCCTGCCGCTTTCTTATTTTTTGTCTTCATTATTATTTGTCTTACTTCTTTAGTAAATTGAATGACGTTTTCGGTTTCTGGTTTGTGGTTTCGGCGCCAAAGGTTATGTGTTGTGCGTTTGTCTGTGAAGTGGTTCTCAAGTGTTAATTTGAATTGTTGAGCCTTGTCTATTTCTTTTGCAGGGCAGTGCATTGAATGGTTTTCTTGATGCATCCTCTGCTATTTGCATCGCTTCTTTTTCTATGTGTGCTTTTCTTTTTTCTTTCAGTAATTTCTTGTACTCTATCCTCTTTTTTAAGTAGCTTTCAAGACCTTCGATTGAGTTAGTATTTTTGGCCTTGTGTAAATCTTTCAGTATTATTTGGCGTTGCTCGTAGAACTCCTTGTTAAATCATGGTTGTGCTTTTCTCTCTTTGTAGGGGGCAGCTGAAGACACGATGGCTTCTTTCTACGCGATGGCGGCTCCTTCCAGGTTTTCCTTGTTGATTTTCATTGCAAGTCTTTGATTTGTGTTGCCTGTATGAAGTTGTGGTCCTGATCTTTTCAGCATCAGCGTAGTTTTAATCGGTATGTGCTTTCTGAGAGGTTCTGAATGTTGATTTCCGTAGTGCCTCTTGAGTTTTGGGTATTAGCTCCCTTCCTTTGATGAGTACTATGTTTACTGCGCTGAAGCCATTATGAGCAGTCTTGAAATCATTTCTGTTTACTAGTTTGAAGCCCTGTTCTGCCATTATATCCATTACTGTTCAGGTTTATCCAGCCTGCAGTTGAGATACCCTGCGACAATGACGTTTTCTTGTTCCACATAGTTTATTACTATAGAACAAGTTTCCGTTGCTTCTTCCAGAGATACTTGAGATTGTATGTATAGGCCAACTATTGTTACTTGCGCTGTTGAGATGAAGACCATATTTTCTTCTGTGTGTACATGTTTTACTTTGCCGATGCAGTGGTTGTATAGGCATGATACACCTCCATAGGTTCTTTTTGTTTTGATAACGCATGTGCGTTGCAAAATCCCTGAACGTCAATTGGTTATGTGATGAACGTTTCTGTGAAAAGTATTTTATCATTTTCTAGTATTTCTTTCGTGCTTTGTGCGTATTAAATATATCTACTGATATATTTTTTAGTACACTCTGAAGTGCTTCTTGGTTTTATTTTTGTACCCCAGATGGACAGTACTATTATATAAACATTCAAATTACTCATACTCTGCAATTAAAACTGGTTAAAGGAATACCCCATGTAAATCTATCATCGCTCTCTTTAGTAGATGCTATGATATCTATCGGACGCAACGAGCTAGAATACACTACATAGAGTGGCTGTCTCTATAGTTTCAGTTCTCTTGGTGGAGGCACGCCGAACCAGTAGCCGCTGTTTTTGAAGTCAAAACATACAAGTGGCGGTGTAGCTGGGTGCATAGAGGAGAGAGAGATATATCTCTATGCCTGGGTGTAACAGTCCGTAACCAGCACCAAACGCAATGCTAGAATACCTAGTTTCGCAAAGTGCGCTGCTTTGACTGCAAAAAAATTGCTTCAATTTGCTTCAAAGATGTAAATGCAAAAAATGTAAACGAGCAGTTTTGGTATCTAACACATTGCACGTTCACGTTAGAGAAAAGTTAGTCTGTCGGTGACTTTCTTGAATCCACAAGTTTCGCAGTGTTGACATATTTCTTCTTTTTTTGAAGACCGTTTAAAAATATCGCTTTACTACAGGGACAACTGCCTAAAGTTTTCCACTTGCCGACCACGCTTCCATAGATTAGAAGAAATGCTGGAAAACACATGTCATTTATCGCACCGTGGACCCATTATTTACTTACATTTCCAATCCTATGCTAATTGAGCATCGGGTCCCGCAAGGTTCTATCTTAGGTCCTTCTTTCTATTATACATAAACGATAAGCCCTCGTGTATTGAGGTCGCAAGAACAGTTCTGTTTGCCGATGACAGGAATGTTCTTTGCAGAAAAGAATACGATTTCAGAAGTATAAAATTGGTTTCGTGATAACAAATTAATAGTTTTTGCATTTCAAATCGGCAATCGCACGCTCTATTGAAAATGAACAATGAGCAATTAGTTGATGTTAAGGTAACAAAATTTCTTGGTCTCTCAAATCAGTCAACCCCCAAATGGAATGTACATATAACAGAATTAAACCGAAGTTCATTATGTTAGGCATTCAGGATTCTTTCAAATTCTATCAGCTTTTATGCATGTATTTTACAAATGTACATTTCCACCTGAGATATGGCATAATATTCTGGAGAAGCTTATTTTGTAGTACCTAGACCATTAAATTGCAAAATAAAATTATTCTAACAATGAAAAAATGCCATCCACATGATCCCCGCAAGCCTCTCCTCATTGAGCTTGGAATCTTACTATTGCCTTGCATATTTATTTACGAATCTGCAATGT